AATTAAATGTTAACACAGAGAGATTCCTGACTCCGTGCACTTGAAGTGCTACCGTACATCACAAGTAACTGTTCACATGTCTTTGTATGTTTCTGGAAAGTTTCATTTAAAAAAAATTTCTGATTCCATTGTTTAGTACTGGACTTATGAAGAGTCTACTGAAAAGAAATAATATACATATCAACCAATGATAAAAACACCATTAGTATTCATTTTGAATTGGTGTCAGATTATAATTCAGATTGAAATCTGAGTACAGCTTTATGGTATATTTCTGTGGGCTGGCAGAACAGTTCATCTCAGGGAAATTCTATTTGAGCAGATTGCACAACAGAAACCTTTCAATGAATGTCTATATGACATACTTTTGTATTTAGTGAAATTACTACGGTTGATATAATTGATTCAAAATTTAGAAAATATTTCAGATACAGTTGATGGTTTCTCAATATAGTCTTGTATTTTCAAACAAATGAAGACTGTGATTGTGACATCTATTTATGTGATTTTTATCATGACTACATAGAAATTTACATTGGAAATTACATCTAGATGTCTTTTACATACACTTTTTTTTTTGTTGAAAACAGAACCACATAAAGGAAAGGAAGTGTTTACATTTTTTGGTTGTGAGCCTGAGCCTTTAACAGCTGCGCCAGCTCTCCAGCCCAGAAGTGTTTACATTTTTAAACTATTGCCAGTTACATCTAGTATTTTTCAGATTATACATTAAAAATTTGAGTTCTACTATCATCTCAGGAAATTCTAAGTTCCAAGATTCATGGTTAGTTTAAAAAGTTTGTAGTTAGGGTGTACTATCTATAGTACATACAGTTTATTTCTAAGACTTCCATTTATTGGGAAAGATATCATTCATATTTAATGCAGCTTTTAATTTATGACATAATCTTTATACTTAATGTTTTCTACTTAATTTTATTTTAAACTTGAAAGAATATAAGCTAAAAATTTGTTGAATATGTGTTCAGTTAGTTGGGTTCCAACATTAATCATACAATAATATCTTTGTGCAAGGATATTTTTCATTGTACAAGGATGTTTTTCTTCATAAGAAAATTAGTCTAATCAGGTGAGCTGATACTTATGATTCCCTGTCCATATGCCTGTGATGAAACTGAAAGGCATTCTAGATATTCTTTAGAGAATGTGTTTGATTCTTATTTGGCATTCAGAAGCTAACTTTGCAATTTAATTTTTATTAAAACTTGATCTTGTCTGCTTTCTTAAACATTTATAAAGTCCTCTTAATTAAATCATACCATTTAAAATTGTAAAATTAATAATAATACTAAAACACTTAAAGGAATAAACAGTGACAAAACACTTCTGGCTTACCCAACTTTTAATACTAGAAAGAGATATAAGTTCCACTTTATTTACATTTGGTTAATTTGGGGTGGGGTTACCATTTGGCTATTTTAAACACTTGCTTATGACTCTGTAAAGGAATGCACTTTAAAGTCTAACCAATATCAGTACATTTTATGATGAGTCTGATTTTTTTATAAAAAGAAACAATTCTCTGAAGAACATTAAAGAACAATGTGAAATGAGTAGGCAACTTTGTAAGGTGCCCAGGTGAATAACTGTAATTATCTCTATGACTGTATTGTAATTGTGCCAGAAGTGCCTTTTGGAAGGTTAAATCTATAGGTGCCTACTGTGTTACTGAACTGCAAAATAATTTATTTGTTTTAATAGTGTAAAAATAAACCTCTTTCTTGTAATCCATGTTTTTCTTTTTTCATTTAAAAGTGCAAACAAGGCATTCTTTTACAAAAAAAAATATTCAAGAAAAATACATACTACCTCTAGTTATACTACCTCAAGGACAACACAAATGTTTATCTTTTTTAAGATACATTTTCATTGGAGGCTGGGTTTTCCTGCTACTTAGTCTTCTTTTAATGCCTGTTTGCTCTACATAAAGTACAAATGCTTAAACCGTTAAGTTACATCTCATTTGAATTATTTCTTTGGAACTCATGCTTAAATTTCCCTTGAATTTAAAACTGCCCTGAAAAGTAAAACTATTAAAGAAATAAATTATTTAGGGCTAGAGAGATTCCTCAGCAGTTAAGAGCACTGGCTGCTCCCGCAAAGGACTTGGATTCAGTTCCCAGCACTCACATGGTGACTACTAACAACTGTCCTTAACTCCAGTTCCAGGGAATCTGTTGCCCTCTTTTGGTCTCCACTGGCATTGCAAGCACAGGTACACTTTGATACATGAAGGCAAAGCACTCATACGCATGAAATAAAAATAAATAAATTTAAAGAAACACAAAATATTTGATTAAGTAGCACAATGTGATTTGTTTTTAAATAATAATTATTGTTGTCACTATTATATTGCTTAGAGTTTTAAGTTTTTCAGTATTTATGTCCTAGTTTTCTAAACTTAGTTTGTGGCCCCTTTTGAGGACATGAGTTCAATTCCCAGCACTTCATAAAACAAAATAAAAGATAGACAATCCAGTTTTATAACAATTCCCTACTAGCCTAGATCATGATTTTACTTGCCAAACTATATTTTTCTTACAGAATTAGCATTAAAATTCTATTGCAGTATTATCTTTGCCACCCACCTAAATTGAAAGTTCAGACAAAAAATGAGGTTATACAAACTTCTGCCTCCAAAGGCTCAGGGATCGTTACAGAAGAGAGGGTAGGAAGATTGTAAGAGACAGGGGTGGTGGATGACCACAAAGAAACAAGAGTTTTCTAGACAGTTGGAAAGTTACTCAAGTGCACTCACAGCAATGGTGACAGCACGCACAAGTATCATATGAGCTCAAATCAGACAAAATTCCATCAAAGGCACGATGAAGTGGGTAAGAAAACCCAATCCTACCTGAGGAACTACTGGAAACCAATGGCTACCGGGAAGGATAGAGTCTGTCCCTTAAGGGTGATTAAGCAGGCTCCAGTGGATGAATCCACACCAATGGACATTTAAGGGCACAGACTCGACCCTGTATAGAATAGAGTACATGAAGTTGGGTGGGAGTAGCAGGGGGGTGCAGATAGGGGAGGAGACCTAAATACAACCAAAATATATTATATGAAATTCACAAAAATTTGATGAAAAGAAGAAATCAGTTATACAAACCCAGCCAGTAGGTGGCATGGTGTTGTCTGACTCACGCCTTCCTCCTTCCGGACATGTATATTGAATTCTGCCTTACTCACATGCTCTGGTGGAACTGTGAGTTACAAACCTGAAACCAGAAATTAAGCCAACAAAACTAAGACTGACAGCTCTGTTTTCAAAATAAAAGCTTAAATGAAAAGGAGGAGGAGAGGAAGGAGGAAGAGGAGGAGGAGGAGGAGGAGGAGGAGAGGAGGGGGGGGGGGGGAGGAAAGACCGGCAGCTCTACTTTCCCACTAATTTCAATGGTATACAACCTGTAACCCACACCTATTTTTTTTTTTAAGATCAAATGATTTTCTATGGATCTAAGTAATCTGTAACAGTTCACTTTCAGCCTCTTACAACCACTCCATGCTTAGCACTTGACTGATGGCTCTCTTATCTTTTCAATTCAGTCAGAGAAATTCATTAAATGTCTACTTTTGATAACATTGCACATTAAATTATATGCCATAGCAAACAGAAAAAATAACCAGACATTACGATCAAATGATTTTCTATGGATCTAAGTAATCTGTAACAGTTCACTTTCAGCCTCTTACAACCACTCCATGCTTAGCACTTGACTGATGGCTCTCTTATCTTTTCAATTCAGTCAGAGAAATTCATTAAATGTCTACTTTTGATAACATTGCACATTAAATTATATGCCATAGCAAACAGAAAAAATAACCAGACATTACCTAGAAGACAGAAAATAATATATCCAAAATAGTCAGAAAACAGTGGTAAAGAAACATGGTAGGGGCTGGAGAGATGGCTCAGAGGTTAAGAACACTGACTGCTCTTGCAGAGGACCCAGGTTTGATTCCCAGCATCCACATGGCGGCTATGAACCATCCTTGACTCCAGTTCCAGGAGAATGTGAAGCCCTCTTCTGACCTCTGCAGCATTGCATGACATGTGTGCACTCACATACATGCAGGCAATACACTCATATATATAAACTAAAAATAATAAATAAAATATTTAATAAAAGAAACATGGTAATGGTCATTAGAGTAATTCCAAAAAAGCACTTTGGGATTTGACTGAAGGAAAGATAGCCTCCACTGAGAATGAATTTATAGATGGGTACTATCTGAGGCAGCCTTGAAGGAGAATTAATTTTCCTAGGTAGCAATGAGAACTCATAGGAAGTAGGCTATTTCATAAGAAATAACATGGGCAAAGACTTGGAGATGAGG